ATGGGCAAAAACTGAGGTAAAATTGCGATTTGAGGGTCGAGGGTCGGGCAAAAACTGAGGTAAAATTGCGAACTTCTTCGTCTGTGTGTAAAAGCGTCTGTGTGTAAAAGCGTCTGTGTGTAAAAGCTTCTGTGTGTAAAAGCGTCTCTGTGTGTAAAAGTCTCTGTGTGTAAAAGCGTCTGTGTGTAAAAGCGTCTGTGTGTAAAAGTGTTTGTGTGTAAAAGTGTTGTGTGTAAAAGCGTTCTGTGTGTAAAAAGCGTCTGTGTGTAAAAGCGTCTGTGTGTAAATGTGTTTGTGTGTCAAAGCGTCTGTGTGTAAAAAGTGTCTGTGTGTAAAAAGCGTCTGTGTGTAAAAGTGTCTGTGTGTAAAGGCGTCTGTGTGTAAAAAGGTCTGTGTGTAAAAGCGTCTGTGTGAAAAAGCGTCTGTGTGTCAAAGCGTTTGTGTGTAAAAGCGTCTGTGTGTAAAAGTGTTTGTATGTAAAAGCTTCTGTGTGTAAAAGCTTCTGTATGTAAAAGCTTCTGTGTGTAAAAGCTTCTGTGGGTAAAAGCTTTGTGTGTAAAAGCGTCAGTGTAAAAGCGTCTGTGTGTAAAAGTGTTTGCGATGCAAACTATTGTCTTGCACTTCTCACTATTTTGTCTTGATACTCCTCTTCTCGACTGCCTATAACACAGCTTTCATATATCGTTTCTAATATTGCGTCTCCATACTAACAAGAGAAGACCCTGCTCCTCTACGCTCTCGGGCAATCCGTCGTCTAGTTTTGTTTTTATATTCTGGGGTTTCCTTAACTTTGTGATAACACAGTCGTTGATACAATGCCATTTGCTTTCTAACTTCTTCAAGCGTCAAGTCTTCAGGTTTTCTAACGGTCATTATGAATATTTATGTGTTCCCGTAACAATCGAAAATGGAATTACTTAAAATCTCACAAGTGAGTGGTCAGAACAAGCTGCACCATCCTTTTCTTCGTGTGCTAGGATGGTGCCTGTGCGGCTGCCCTATCTGGTCTGTGACCTATGTCACCAGTGGTCAGTTTGACCACCTGCCATACACTTGGCAGAATTGGTGGTGGTGTCATCAAATTCAACCCCACCACTGTGCAGCCGCACCCACCGGACCCCCATGTGGGATCATGGGTGGGTTGGAGAAAAGAGAGAAAATATTCGACCCTCTTGACCGCATCTAGTTGGTTCAGAGGGAAGGTGTCTTCCAGTCACCTAAGATTTGCGGCAAAAGTTGAAATAAAGCAAAAATAGAGTGAAGCGAGAGGCGCTTCTCTGGGGTGAAACCTACCGGTTCAGGATGAGTCAGTTCATCTGCCCATTGGTTATGAGCTCGCTTGTAATGATTCGGAGCAAGTTGGGCTCCTTGCTCATAGAGCAGATTAACCAATTGCATCAGGAACGCAGCTGTGGGCATCTTCCTGGTGTTCTGGTTCAGCAGGGAGAAGATATTGCCCTGGTTGTCTGAGATCAGGGCCAACTGAAGACGTAGCAACGTAGAGTTTCCCCGTTGGATGAGGAGGGCCACCAGGATCAGGGTATTGAGCATCTCCAGGGCTGCAATGTGCCGGGTGGAGCTACTTTCCATGAAAGCCCATGGGCAGTCATCTGGTGTGGTTTCTAGTTGAAACCACACCGATCCCTCGGATCCAACCTCCTAGCCATGGTCGTGCCACCAGGACGTCCTTGGTTGCACTAGCATCACTGGCTCCCCACCAGTTCGAAGTGCTCACGGAGAAGGTTGGCTGTAGGGTTTAGAGAAGATCGCCTCCAACATCTTTGCGAATAGGGTGACAAGCTTCGGAGGGCTCCCGAAGTCTTACCTGGCAGTGCGGATTCATCAGCAGCGTCGTCGGCAGCAGCCGCCAGGAGGCCCGGCGGCGCCGCGCCCTGCCCCGCCCGCGGCCGGGTCATAGCTCGCCACAGGGTGCCGCGCCGCGGGTCCCAGTCCTCGCCGGGGTAGCGCGCCGCGCCGCGCCGCGCCCCCGCGGCCGGCTGGAGGCGCACTTCGAGTGCCTGGAGCGGCAGCTCGTGGCCGTGGCGCCTGGGGCCAGATTCTGGGGCAACATAGCCCCGACATACTTTTTTGGGCGCTCCCCAAACACCTCTAAAACGACATACCTTTTTTTGGCAGCCTCTTGAGAATCAAAAAAACCAATTTTACACTGTAAAATGTATGTTTTTGCTATGTTCTGAAAGTCCAAAATGCAAAAAACATACATTATACACTGTAAAATGCATGTGTTTCAACTTTTGGAATGAAATTTCAAGATTCCAAAACTAAAATTGAAGCCCCAGAGTCAAAAACATACATTTTACACTGTAAAATGTATGTTTTTCCAATTTTGGACTGAAATTTCAAGATTCCAAACCTGAGATTGAATGTTTGCTTTAGTGGCAGGAGGGTTATTCTTTGGGCACGTCAACTTTGCTGCCCTAGGCTTGCCCGATGCACCAACAGCACAATGACTTAGTGCATGAGGCCATGGCAGCGGCTCATCGAGTCCAACAGAGCTGGCACTGCCTCTGTGAGGCCTATCAGGCTGTGCTGAGTGAACTCAAGTATCATGCTCCCACGTCCAGCTAGAATATGCACTGGGCTCGAAAAATTTCAAGATGACGAGGAAGCAGTATGGCTGTCATGCACACAAGATGCATTAATTTAGACAGGCCCCCGTCTCTGTTGACACGTCATCCCATGTAAATGAAAAAGTCTGCTACTCACTGTTTTGGGTGGATCATGCAGTACCTTCCAACATGACTGGCACGCTCCAATAGCAATCCGGGACCTGAAGGAAGCCTTCCATCTCACGCATAAATGAGTTGAAGGGTTATTTCTCGGTGCACAGCTGAGTGGCCAGCCGTTTCTTCTCAAGCAGTAAATGTATCCAGACTCACCACAACATAGATTGTTTTTACTCACAACTCACCTACCAGGTGGCCCTTTCCTTCTGTTCTTCTTTGTTCCTTCTTTTACCTTGACTTGTTGCTCGGTTTTTGCAACCAGAATGCCTAATCACCTCAAGGTTGACGTTCAATCTTTAGTAGTCCATGGCGTATGCGAGCTATGTGCGACGTGGTGACCGTTTTCCCCCAGCAATGCGCATGTTGCCGTATAGCCTGGAAGCAGCATATGACTTGATCTACACACTTAGAGACCTCAGGCGGACGCTCGTGCTAGTGCGTAGTGGTCTCTTAACCTTTTTCCCTGAGGAAACTGACGGGCTACAACACATATATGGAATAATAGAAAGAGATCTCCTCACGGCAGAATCCATTGGTCAAGAATTGTCCCGACAGCTTCAGACAGCACTGATTGATACGGACGAAGATATAGTGAGGCTGGCGACTATGACGGTGCCTGCGACCAGAGGTGTCTGGATTAACCAACTATACCTTACGTCCACTGCTGATAGACACATCACAGATGCTTCAGGTGCGGTTCCCATACCGATAGATGCAAAGCCATTCACAATTACGCTCCACACTGTTTACACTTCAGCCAATTTGGGGGGTTTTATCGACACTTCAACATTCCCATGCCGGCTCAGTGATCTGATTAATGCTATCTTCTCCATATTGCATCTGGCTGTGCCTCCACAGCTCCACATTTGGACAGAAGTTTCTGAAGGAGCAGACACTTCGGTGCGACGGATACTGGCCTCAGCTACCATTCAAGACGTCATCCGCGCCCGTCAGCCACTTACGCGTTTCCTGTTACTCATTCAGGACCCTCCAAGTGCAATAGGACGTGACTCCACAAGAGAGTTACTGTCGCCAGAAGTGTACCTGCTCTAAGTCTTAGCTCTATCGGTGAAAAGGGACACTTGATCACCTGTGGCCATACACCATCAGCAAAACCCCTTTTTTTGTTCTATGCAGAACTTTCACAAAGTGTCACAAAGGCAATCTAACACATTTCTCCTTGATAAGCACTCACCTGCCTGTACTAGATACGTAAGAAAGGGTCCACCCAAAACCCTCCCAGTCTAGACCTACGCGTGCCAATTGCGCATTGTCTATTCCTTTCTTATTACAAAAAACCAAAACGCGGAAACTCTCACTCCGTAAAAATCCTAATGAGGCTATCGCCACGGTATGAAATAAAAACCATATATGAAAAAGTGCAGATATACAGACAGCTTCACTCAACGCACCATTGCTTGAAATTGCAATTCTTTTTCCTTTCCATAATTGTTTGATGGTTGGCTACCACAACCTGGTCCAACGTTCAGCACAGCCCATCTTTAATGGGTCGCCGAGTGCCTGAACCCCCAGGTGTGGGTGGGTGGGCTAAAAAATTGCACCAACCCAAGAAAATCTTGATCCACTAAAAACGGTTGTGGTATCAACATAAACAAATTCAAAACTACTTTAGAAATCCGGAAAGTAGAAAAACATGTGATCTCCAAATTGTTGTTTCCAATGACCGGGAAACGATTCCAAAAACCGAAGCATCCCAAAATAACCGGAAACCAATTCCGAACGAGTGGAGTTAAACAGTTAATAAAAACAATCCTCTCGTTTGTTCTGAAGGTTTCAGGATACTTCCAAGTTACTCAGGAGAAGAAGGCTTCCGCTCACAACACCGCTGCACGAGAACCGCGTACAGGAAGGAGAAGGGGAAGACAGCGTTGAACACGCGTGGAAAAGACCGGGCAGAGCGCAGGAGCAAGCACCGGCTCGCGCCAACAAACTTACGTCCGAATACACAGTCGCAACACGTCGCGATTGCGTACTAGATACGTAAGAAAGGGTCCACCCAAAACCCTCCCAGTCTAGATCTACGCGTGCCAATTGCGCATTGTCTATTCCTTTCTTATTACAAAAAACCAAAACGCGGAAACTCTCACTCCGTAAAAATCCTAATGAGGCTATCGCCACGGTATGAAATAAAAACCATATATGAAAAAGTGCAGATATACAGACAGCTTCACTCAACGCACCATTGCTTGAAATTGCAATTCTTTTTCCTTTCCATAATTGTTTGATGGTTGGCTACCACAACCTGGTCCAACGTTCAGCACAGCCCATCTTTAATGGGTCGCCGAGTGCCTGAACCCCCGTGGAACCGAGGTCGGCCCGTATCTACCATGGTTCAAGGGCAGATGTTTTTCTCTTCTTTCTTTTTGGCTGGGGTGCATGTGGCTCATCCTTTCGTTTTGACATCTCAGCATGAAAAGAATTTGCATGTAACATAAATTCATCCAACACGTGCCAGCTTTGCAACTTTGGATCCCACCTGACCCTGTCCTCTTGGTTGAAGCTGTCAAATTTTTCATTCGTGAGGTCGTCTGCCATCTGGTTTGCCTCGCGAGGTATCCCGTCCAGTGTCAAACAGCAGCGGCCACATCTCAAAGACTCTGACAGCTCCATGATAAAAACCGTCAAAGGAAATTTTGTGCTCATCCATCTTGAAATTGCATATGTGTTGGACTGGTTGTCCGTCTTCCCTTTTATCCAGCAAACTGCATCGGTTGCTCCCTCTGTCGTAGGCATCCACAATTTGACTGCCACCAAGCTCGCGAGGAGCTCAAGAGCTGCAATGATCCTTTTAGGATCCCTTTTCAGGTGTAGCCAAGGTGCCCATTCCGGCGAGATCTCTTCTGAAAACCAAGAAACCACCTTCCCTTCCGAGTCTTGCTTGAAACCACCAATCCAAGCGCCAGATTCTGTAGCCTTTGCGTCAGTGTAGAAGGTGAGGCCGCTGTTTTTAGGTCTCTCAAGTGGAGGAGGGCTTTGCAAATCGCCGCCCGACTCAAAACGCCTTGCCAAGAACTTGAGAATGGTTCGAAGCATGGCCGGCACACGCAAAGCACCCGTTTTGTTGCGCACTGCCGCACTCCAGTTGTACATGGGCCCCAAAAAGGGCCTTTCCCATGTTAACGCCAGAGATGCAAACCCCAGGCGTCCCAATCCCTGTTCAAAACTTCTTGAGGTTGTAACACCAGTCTGGGCAAGCTCCAGGGCCCAGTCGCGCATCCATCGCGCCCGCTTTGGCGATAAGCCCAGCTTGTATACAGTGTAGTCCGTAAAAAGGCCTATCCACTCCACACGCAAACCACCTCGCTGCTTTGCCCACTTAAAAGGAAAACCAAGTACTGACATGTAAAGGAAGGCCAGAGTGATCCCTCGTCTCCCACCAGCGCTGGCCCCCAGGGCCTCCAAGTCATCTGCAAAAAGGAGTAGCTCCACCGGCATGGTGGGTCCCAGAAGCTCGTGAGTGAGCCTAATCCCAGCTCCTGCAATACGCCCCCACCAATATGACGCGCATGCCAGGCCAAAGGTTCCCACTCTGTTGATGTAAATGAATGGGTCGGATTCGAGGATGCGACATGCCAACAAGCCCCGCTCCTCCGGCGCATGCAAGAAGCGCCTGTGCGCTTTGCTGATGTCACCCACCAGGCTGAACACGGAGCTTCTGTTCCTTTGAAAGTAGGCCAGAAGGTATTGTTTTTCTCTCGCACTAGGACTCCTAGTCTTATCTCTGCATCTGATCCTGTTGTTCACCTTCGTCCCGTGGGTGGCATCATGTATCACCCTCTTCTTTCCCTGATGGTTCTCTTCCACCAGCACTGCCAGAGAAGAAATCGCAATTCTGTCACCGTATCGCTCTTTAGCCTGCTCAATGGTGAGCTTTTCCATGAGCCCTTCATTGCACTCCTCCTCAAAGTGCTCCCTGATGAACTGGACATGATCTTCAACCGATTGGTAATTTGAACGCCATACTTCCTCCTGCATGAAGGGCTCATCCTCCAACCGCCAAGAAGTTTGCTCTTCGTAAGCATGCGGGGTGCGTGGGAGTGGATTCAACACTCCCACTGGGAACCCCGTCTCCCCCTGCAGCAGGAAGTTACAGTCGGCGTCCTCCCCAAAGGCCAAAAGCTCCTTCATCAACCTGAGGTAAAAAGGTTGACCCTCTGCAACATGTTCCAGGTCCGCTTGTGCCGACCCGTGTTGTCTAAGCAGGGAGATCCAGTATTTCCTAATCTCATGCTTCAGCTTCTCATCCCGGACTATGTTGCAGCCCTCTTCACCTTTCACTGCCATCTCAAAACATGCTCTATCCAGCTCTCTCGGATCGCCCAGGTGCGCCTCAATTAAGGCAATTGTACCCTGCCTCAACTGCTTCCAAAACGTTCCCATGCTCCAAATCCTGTTTTCAACATCCCAACGTCCCATTGAAAGCAGTCCAGCACCGTCATGAAAAAGCCTATCCTTGCCGGGAGGTTGACATTTGCGGGGTTCCCCCACTCCTCCAGCCAGCTTCCTGCCGTCTGGTTGTAAAACTTTATACTGTTCCTGTCTGTCCGAGGTAGTCCCCAGATCTCCATCGTCAGCGAGGACTGCAGTGGCTTGAAGGGCAGAAAATTTTTCCAAAATGGCTGTTGCTATCCACTTGCACATCTTTGAAGGCCATTGTTCTGAGCCTTTAGTTGCAAAATGGCTCCCAACGTTTCCCACCAGTTGGCGCTTTGCAGAACGCTTTGCAAGTGGACCTACATAAAAACCCTGGTCATCAAAGCAAGGTTGCCCCGCCACTAGTTGCTCCGGCAGGACTGAAAAACCACCTAACAAAAGTCTTGTAGGCTTCAAATAGTCTGTACCAAAGTCAGCTTGGTAAAACGCTGCAGTGTCAACATTGTCCAAACGTAAAAGCTCAGAAAATTTTTCAAACTGCCACATGCTTCCGGGTCGTATGCCCCTGTTTTCTCCAGCTCTGATGGCACCCAAATCTTCCGGGTTCTCGTAAAGTGCCATCGCATCTGCATGAACCATCTGCTTCTCAAAAGCCTCAAATGAGAAATCTGTCAAAATGTTACCCCAATTTGCCCTTTTTCGTTCCGGCCATGATAGCCTGTCGAATCCCCTGAGTTTCACAAAGGATCGAACTGGTCTCGGCCCCCTGCGGTTTGCCCAGGTCACCCTGGTAAATGTGCTGCATGGAGGGCTCAGGAGCACTGCAAAATATCTGCCAGCCGCTATCTTGCTTAGCAACTGCTGCTGAACTGATTCCTTGGTGATATCTAGGTGGGGTTTGATCTGTATGTCGACCATCTCCACCTCCACGGTCACGCCAAAGTGTTTTGACAGTTTGCGTAACCAAGATGAAACTGAATTCTTCCGAGGCCTACCTGAAAAAATGTAAAGGACCCTGCATATTCGCTTTGAAGACGCAGTGCCCCCTCCATTGCTGTTCCGCTGTACCTTCGGTCAGACTGAACCTGTTGTATCCAAGGCCTGCTTGTCGTCCTTGCAGTTCATGGCATTGTGTCCCTTTTTGAAACACCTGTTGCACAAATGAGCAAATTTGCACTTCTGATAACTGCATTTTCCCTGGTTGAACCTGAAGCAAATCTTTGACCCATCGGGGGCTGTCCCTGCTCCCTTTCCTTTGGATTTTCCTTTGCCGCTTGAGCCCTTGTTGGACTTGCCTTTCCCCTTTGGGTTCCAGTCGCCCCAAGATGCGGAAGGGTTTGAACGTTTGCTGTATAATGCCAATGGTGTAATAAAATGCCCCATGCCTGTTCCAGTGCAGCCCCTAGTTTCAAATGATCACTAACCATCAAGCTGTAAGCACGTTTCCTCACTGCATGCTCGTAACTGAGGACCAGACTCCAAGGTGGCGTCTGGATTTGATTTCCCTGCAAGTCAGTTGATGATAAGCCCCAGACGTAGTCACCAAGGATGTAGTCCTTGTATCGTTCCATAGTGTCACGACTCATGTCCTGAATCTCTTCACGGTTTGTATGCTTCAAGGCTAGCATCAAAATGCAATGCAACATCACTGACAGTCGACGCCTAAGCTGTTCAGGACCTGTTGGAAGTGCCACCGTTGTCGAACCCTTTTTAACTGACAAAGCCCCCTTTGAATCAAAGATCGGCACCATGATGTCCGGATCCACCTCATCCTTAGAGACCACCTCTGAGAGCAACTCCGCACGGAATTCACCGTTCTCAAGCTCTTGCAACTTTTTCTCCATGTATTCTTTTGACGGTGTTACTTTATCTTCAATCTTCCCATGGACCCTCATGAAGGCATTTCGTAAATTGATGTAGTCACCAGTGGGAATCGGCTTCGTCCATTCACGTGTGTCCATCTCTGCTTCAACTTCTGCCTGACGCTTTTGTTTTGTCTGAGTCTCCCGCCAGGCGCATATCACTGAAGCCAGCTGTGCCCGTGCTTCCAACCCATTTGCTGCATCTGTTGCAAACGAATCCCTCATGACTTCTATCAGATCATCTTCAGAACGGAAGAAAGAAGAAAACTTCTGAATTGTTGTGATGCCATTGGTAAAGAATGCAGCCTGCAGATCATCATCCACATCATTCCTTGACAAGGTGAATCTAAGGTCAGCTCCACCCTTTCTCAGTGCTTCCTCACGTGGAATCGGTCCCGCCATCTCGACGGCGCTCGCGCAATGTCAAGTTGACGAATGAAAGCAAGACAACTGTACTGCCTATCAATTTGTACAATTGAAAAATTTTTCACAGCAAGCAACAAGTTTGTTCCGTTTCTGCCGTTTCAAAATAGTGCACAAAAACAACATGAAACCTGTCTGTTTAAGACCCTTGAAACTCTGCCGATAGCTGAGCCATCTCTCCGGTGACATGTACACATGAAGTCTTCTGGATCAACCCGGGCACTTCTTACCGGTGCCTGCGTTTATTTACTCCCCTTGTTCATGGTCTTTTCTTCCGGACCCATGCTCGGCTCCCTCCCAGGAGCTGTTTCCAAAAATTTCCCATGACTGACAATCACAGCTGAACCCCTATCAAAAACAATGCATAGCTCAGCAACGGCCTACAACTGAACCTTCATTTTTCCACACCAGCCTCCGGGATCCCGGTCTCTAAGAGACTGATCCTACCGGTGATACCTTGCCTCCATCCGAGCTTGTTCACTCAGAAGTGACATGACATGAGGCTCAACACATTCGAAACGCAGAGAAAAGCAAAAACCTAATGCACAAGTTCTGCAACAACTGAAACATCCATGCCCAATGCATCAAAACTATACCACTACCGCCTGTCCAAGTGGTTTCAATCAGGGCTGTCCTGGTCCTCCGAGCTCGAGACACTACCTGAGCTGGACGTCGATGAAGAAGAAGAGGAGTCCTCAATGGCCTCCCTCACGCTGGCCTTCGGCCAACATACCTTGCAGACATGTGTGAAGGAGGTTTCATCTGGCATCTGAAAGAACTCTGTTGAAGACTTGAACGTCATCTCACGTCCCATCCAGCATCCACCTTGGCTCTTATGCAAACGCCTACATCGCCTGCCACTGTTGACCACCACATACAAAGGTTTCCTTGATTCTTTTTCAATGCTTGTCTTGCTCTCTACAACCGGTGTATCACCTACTTCCACGGGTAGTCCTACAGGCTCTTCTGCTCCATCGTCATCCTCAGCTAACCTCCAGCCAGATTGCACCTTGCACTGAAGTGAATCCTCCAAGTGAGCAAGCATCGACTGCAACTGATCATATGGAATAGGATCACACCTATCCGCCAGCCAAGAATTTGCACTTTCTATGATATCTCTCTCATCCAAGAGTGCTGTGCGATTGCCGCTGCATAAGGCCCTGGCAAACTGTTGCTGCAGTCGGGACACTACTCCGTTGTACATGCGTATGTATGTATCTGAGCCATCCGGTTTCCACCTACCCAGCATGTCCCGTTCCTCCTTGGCCACCCTAAGCAGTGCTAGGCCAGTAGGCAATGTTGCTCTCTCTGAATGCTCCGTCCAGAAACCAGCCAGTGCAGGGTCGATCAAAGGTTCTTGAGTCCCCGGCCTTTTGGCGGTTTTGCGCACCACTGCAGAGTACGAAGATACATCATTGTATGTAGCCATGACCCTACGGAAACCAGACCATTCCTTGTTCAACTTTGGCAACAAATAGTCCCTCTCAAAGCATGCATGCTCCTTGAACAAGTCAAAACCTGTTTTCAACCAAAAGGGGCTCACCACAAATGAATGCTCAGACACACAGACCGGCAGTTCTTGTACTCTCTTTGTCGGGCCTGTCGTTTTTGTAACACGCAGGATTGTTGTCATGCGCCCCCCATAGTACTTGAGTTCTTTGGGAATGATCTTCTGTATATCATCCCATCGCAGTGATGCCCAGAGCTTGACCAACTTCAGCCATGCTATAAGTCTGATACCCAGTACCAAGCCTTCATTGTCCACCATGGCCTCAAAAGCCTCCAAGAAGACCGCTGGGTATCTCGGCGCTCTTTTTGTCGGGGGTGCATCCCTCGACAACATCTCTACTATGTAGTCACGCACTGATGCTACCACCTGTGACTCACCCACACGCATCCTCATGTCCAAACATGCAATGCGCTCCATCCAGGTTATTGCTTTCACTATCAAACCCGGGACTGTGGGCCCGCATGGCTCGTCATATCTTGCAAAAAGATACTCCACCAGATCACCAGGCACCGGATATTCCAGCGCCCCTTTTACCGCTGTAAGCCACTGCATGAAGGCCATCCATGTCTTGACGTACCTCTTGAGTGTGTTGTACCTTGTACGCCCCGCCAAAGCCATATTTAGATGACGGTCACTCACGCAGTGTTCAAGATGTTCCAGGGCAGGTGCATCAAACTTTTTAAGTTCCAGATATAACTCTCTCGACCAGAACTCCTTCTGCTGTGCCTCCTTGTGTTTACGTGCATGCTGCTCCTCCTCTGTCTGCGGCTTTCTCCTGGAGGGTCTCGACCCAAACTCTTCAACCAACTCCGCTTCAACTCTGCCTTTGTATCCAGTGCTACTCTGACCAGATAAACTCCTACGTTCCTCAACCAGCACTGAATGCAAGGGATCTTGTACTAGGTCACCTCTCAAACGCTTCGCCAGGGGCTCGGCCCGTTTGGCATCCTCTATCCAGGTTCCTACCAGTTCAACATGAGAGACCTCACAAATGATACCCAGCTTGCGACAGAGTTGATTTGCAATTGATTCTGCATCGTTTCTGCTAAAAACCGCAAGTTTCTTTCCAGTCAAACCGTAGCCATCCAATTCAGTCCACATACTTGCAGCAGCATCGAAATCATCCATGAGTCTTTAAAAAGACTGGGCACCGCCGAAATCCTACACTAAAAAATTGCACCAACCCAAGAAAATCTTGATCCACTAAAAACGGTTGTGGTATCAACATAAACAAATTCAAAACTACTTTCGAAATCCGGAAAGTAGAAAAACATGTGATCTCCAAATTGTTGTTTCCAATGACCGGGAAACGATTCCAAAAACCGAAGCATCCCAAAATAACCGGAAACCAATTCCGAACGAGTGGAGTTAAACAGTTAATAAAAACAATCCTCTCGTTTGTTCTGAAGGTTTCAGGATACTTCCAAGTTACTCAGGAGAAGAAGGCTTCCGCTCACAACACCGCTGCACGAGAACCGCGTACAGGGAGGAGAAGGGGAAGACAGCGTTGAACACGCGTGGAAAAGACCGGGCAGAGCGCAGGAGCAAACACCGGCTCGCGCCAACAAACTTACGTCCGAATACACAGTCGCAACACGTCGCGATTGCGTCTCTGCTAGCCATCAGTGTTCATGTCCTGAACCCAGTAAATTGAGTAACGTTATCTCAATTCCCAAACCACCCTCGCAAAAACAAACGCGCGTACATCGTCTCAATTAAACGTCGGTCGTTCAAGGTCGCATGCATTTGAAAATTAAAAATCGGATCGCCGAAATGAATGTGCAAAAACGGAAAAGACATCAAACAAATAATCACTCAATGGACATGTGAGTCAGGATCAAAACGCAGCAATTCTTTTCTCGCAAGAGCTTGGGGGAGATTCGAGACCCCAGCCAGTTAGGGCTGGGGGTGTGGCCAAATAAGAAAAAATGTTGAGAGTATTGTGTTGTTTTTGTGTAGAGGTGGGTGGGTGGGAAACAAAAACAACGCAGGGAGCGAAGCGGTCAAAAAAGACCCACCCACCCACCACTCAGCCAAACAACGGGAACATAAATCATCAAGGTGCAAACAGGGTGCCAATGCAGTGGTTTGCAACTTAACATAAAAATAGGCAGGTAAAAAAAAAACAAAGTTCCACTGTACAAACTCTCATTTCTTCATGACCTTATTCAGAGAACGTTTCCTGTTTTTTGGCATACCAAAACATCGAACGAAACAAACTAAGGTTCAAAAGACTCGACATTTCAAGTTGAGTTTCAACGTGTGCCTGCCACGTGATACATTGTGCCGCACGTGCCACGTGTGCAAGAGACGCGAGGAGGCGCAGCGTAAGTAGAGGGTCGCGGGAAGCGTGCCACAAAGCTGTGCAGTCACAGCAATTAATAGCACGCATGGTTGTGGGTGTGCAAGATAAAGCTTTATCTGCTACGCAGAAAAATGCTTATCTCAATTCCCAAACCACCCTCGCAAAAACAAACGCGCGTACATCGTCTCAATTAAACGTCGGTCGTTCAAGGTCGCATGCATTTGAAAATTAAAAATCGGATCGCCGAAATGAATGTGCAAAAACGGAAAAGACATCAAACAAATAATCACTCAATGGACATGTGAGTCAGGATCAAAACGCAGCAATTCTTTTCTCGCAAGAGCTTGGGGGAGATTCGAGACCCCAGCCAGTTAGCCCCACTAGTCATTCGTGGGTTCGAGAAGTGTCCATGTCTGCCATTAGTCGCAGCACTTGTGCATCGGATATCAAGGTTCTCTGCGCTCCCAACTTTTCCAACATCTCAAATCGACCTCGTGATGGATCATCACCCATGTTCGAGTGCGTCGGCACTCTCGAGAAAAAAGGCCAGACATCCAGGTCAGCTTCTAGTCTTGTACCATTGTGCAAGATCCTTTGAGCGACGTCTGCAGTCGCCGACCCTGTAATCCATGAAGCTTTGGCCGCTTCGTTGTCAATAAATGCAAAAATGCAGCACCCTTTGACTGTAGAGCCCCAGACCGTAAGGGCTAAGGCATAGGGCAGGACCTCTGCTTCGAAAATGTGCTGTGTCTTGTCAGGAGGTCCCCACGTCGCAACCAAATTGCTGTCGACGACATGTCCAAAGTAAAACAAAATTTTTCCAGTATCGTCAGCAAGAACACCTCCAACTGACGTCCCTGTCCACTTACCGGATTGTTCATCCGTACATGCACCATCCAAAAACATGTAGTAAGTCCGGCGGCCGCCTGTGTCGATGCGCCGCGGTGCCGCATTTAGAATGCGTTCCTTGATCCATCTCAAAGCCCGCTCAACTTCACACCCTAAGGGCTTGACCAAGCTTGACCGGAAACCAATCGCCCCGATCCTCTGCAACGCAAGCTTTGCAAATCTTCCATACAGCTGCCCTTCCGCAAAAAGCAAGCGGGATCTCAACGACTCCGCGACCTTGGGTTCCAGTTCATCCTGTAATAGGATACTGTCAATCTTCTCCGACAGTTCTGCTCTCCTTGAATCAGTGTTCTTGACTGAAAAATAGCCACCCTCAACTGTCGATAAATCAAATTCGACCCCAAGAGCTTGAAACCGGCTTGCAAAAGGTTTGTCTTTCTCGTCGCCTGCAGACAACGACCATCCCAGTGATTTGAAAATAAGCCGGACCATACGATCCGTCTGCTCCTCTGTCCCAGCTTTGCAGACGCAGACAAAATCGTCGTAAAAGGACGACCAAACCAAGTTTCCATGTGTAATGCCGATAACTTTGATCGCTTGTGATATGCGCAAAAACGCGCTTACAGAGGCAGTTGCTCCAAATGGTAGCGTCTCCATCTTGAATAGTGCAGGAGCTTCTCGCACGGGATCCCAAACCGAGATCCAAGCGAAATCCAGGTGTGCTTTGCGCAATGCTAACTGCCTGTAGGCTTTGCGCAAGTCATAAGTCTTGCCCACAAGTTTCAAACCAGGCCCGCTCTCTTGCATCCATGCCTTTACCATCGCACAAATTTCATCAACAGTGTCAACCATGAAACGTTCTTGCACACCAGCTGCATTGTTGACATGAGACGACGTGAAATTGTCGATCGGTCTGAGCTTGTTCTTTTGTTGTAGCCCAAACCTTGGAGAGACAACACTCTCACGGTCGAGGTGGCTGATGCTCCACGGACCTGTCAAAAAGCCCTCCTCCACCTCATCGAGCGTCGCCTGCCAGAGTTTCATGTCAAGCTCAGGATCGCCTGATGACACTGTGGCTGCAATGGAACGTGCACTGAAGGATCTCGCCATGGACCTCAAGAAGTTCTCGTCAAATTCAGGTGCGCGTACACGCACTGGAAAAATATCTGAAGTAGGAAGCCAGCCGCACAGCGGAAAACCGCATGTCATCTCAGTTGCCACCTTCATGTCTGGGTAAGAAATCTCTTCCAGGAGTTGTTTAAACAAGACTGTGCGTTTGCCATCCAGTATGCGCCTCACATGGGGCTCCATGCGCTGCTTGCATTCGGCTTCCTTGTCTTTCAAGTCTGTGCACATAGCCACCAGTCTTTTTGCAAACGCACACTGCGTACGCCTGAACTTGAGCCCTGTAGCGTCATTGTAGGCCTTGATGTTGTCCATCAACAGATTGCCAACTTGCATGGCCATCTCGGTCGGGTGGATTAGTTTGCATGCCTCTTGCAGAAATTCAAGAGGTTCTCTCGGTATGCCAATTGTTGCCAAGGTCGGCATGCCAGTGCCACAGTAGTTCCCCCCGTCCTCATTCACAAATTGCAAAAGTCGGGACCCTTTCGGGAAAACAGTGCATTCGTCAGGAATGCGTTTGCCAAGCGGAAGCTGTTGCAAAATTGATATCTCACTGATATCATGTACTTGTGGTTGCAAAAATTCAGACATTAGCGGCACCAGTTTGCGGCCGCGAGGTAAACATCCCAAAATTGCTTTGTTGACATGTGTCACGGAGTGTGTTTCAACCTGGACATCAGCAATTGTTAAAGGAGGCGCAACAAAGTTTCTTGACAGTGCAAAAGCTGTAATTGCTTCAGCCCATGATGCACACAGGCTATCGTTGTAGGCGCATTCTTCTGCCGTTGCGAAACCTTTTTCAGTGCGCCCCCATGGTAAATGCTGGTGCGCATTGTCGCATTTCCTCTCCAGATACGCACGTAGTTGGGGGACTGATGTCCAAATTGCTGTATCTTTCTTCCTCTTCGCTGCAAACATACATGTATGAAAAGAAAAGGCATCAAAGTTGATTTGCTGCACCATTTCCACAAATGGATCTGTGATCCACATGAGACTGCTGGCAGGGTTTTCAATGCTCCATCCGATGTTCCTGCTGTCCAAAAACTTGACAAGCTTCCATGTCCACTTGTAAAGAAAATTGGCCTTTTTGACCCGGGTCTGCTGCAAAAAGGTAAGTCCGGGTAGGCCCATTGGAAAAACTGTTGACCTCAAAGGTGGTGGGCCAGGCTTAATGTGCCTTGCAGCGCTGGCTGTGCCGCAAGGAGGCGCAAAATGCACATACAAAATTGTATCAAGGCTGAGCAGTTGTTCCAGGACGTCACGTTGACTTTTCTTGCTGATGTCAATACGCAAGACAGGAATTCCTTTAGGAGCCATGTGATCAACAGAAATGACCTGAAACTGCTTTGCCCTGAGTCGCTTGGATAGCCCACCTTTGCCGCAGAAGATTTCGACGCAAACTGCATTGGTCAGACACGTCGGCTCTGCAGCTGGTGTTTGTCACTGTTTTGGACATTGTTGCCATCCATGCCGCCCACCGCACTGATGCACTCGTGACAACCTTTCACGCATCTCGTGTGGCCATCTTTCTCATGAGTGCTGTTGGCGCAACCATGTGGCAAATTGTAGTTGTAGCAAATTCTGAGCTTGTCCTTGTTGACGCCTGCGAACCCTTTGAGAGCTTCAGGCACCTTGGTTCGCTCTACTTTGGGTTTCTTTGGGACCCTTTTTGGGGCACCATGATTTCCAGCTTTCGGAGCTGCCTTTGCCGCGGGCTTCACGGCTTCGGCATCTGGTGACCGAGGTCGCTTTGTAGATCCACCCGGAGTAGGCAACAGGTGGAAGACCACCTCAGGTGCATTGTATAGATCAAGCAATGCCTTGTCCAAAGGGTACTGGCCAGCTGAGT